GCGCGACCCACTCCGAGCCCCTTGGGGGGCGCCGGTAAGGCTCTGAGGCAACGAGGCGCCTAGGAAGGCCGGCGGCACGAAAGCCTCCTGGGAAGGTGGAGAGTGGGCAGCTGGGACCGTGCGCAGACCACGTCAGCTGTGGCTGAGAGCGGCTGCTAGAGGGGCCCTGCCTGCGGGGAGGGGGCTGCCTAGCTACAGGGCAGCTGCCCCAACAGCTTCCCCTGGCTCGACCTGGCACACCCTACGGGGCATGTCTCCGACAGTGGTGACTGAGCAGGTCAAACCTGGCGACGAAGTCTGCCACCAATAAGGACATAACTCGTCCCCCATTCCCCTAGACATTAGGGCAAAGGGCCTTTACAGTGATGCCTCACTGAGGCCACAGCAAAGAAAGGCTCAGCCGGAACCGTGCTGCAGAGAGGTAGAACACAGCCTTCCCCAAGCTACCTGCTGAACGGAAAGAGGTAGAGCATGCTCCTACTTGCCGAAAACAAAGAAAGGATGTAACTACACCCATGTTACCGGGCAGAAGGGAGCAGGGAGCAGCTGCCTTCACTAGCCTGGATTAAATAAAGACGTTTTAAAAGGCAGGACAGCTTAGCCGGCTGCGGCTGCTGCTAGAATCAATCAACACGTCTACACAGGAGCGGAGCGGAACACTGGCCTCTCCTGGTTGAGTTCATAAACGAATGCCAGGTGCAGCGTACTCGGGAGCGGGTGCGGAACACAGCGCTTCACGCAGCTACCCTGCTGAACGGAAAAGAGTAGAGCAAAATGCCCTACTCGCCGAACCCAAAAGAGGGATGTAACTACACCCATGTTAGCGGCTGGGCAGATGGGCTGGGAGCGAGAGCACAGCCTCCACGGCTAGCCTTGGATTAAAATAAAGAGGCTTAACCGGGGGCCAGCCCTAGCCGGCGCGGCTGCTGCTAGAATCAAGGCAACACGTCTACCAGAAGGCGAGCGAGAGCACTGGCCTTCACCAGCTGAGTTAAAAATAATAAGAAAGCTTAACAGTCACACGCAAGACGTTAGCCAAGCGGCCTGCTGAGCTAACAACGAGATCCAAGTCAAGACACAAATTTTAAGACCAAGCATAACTACGCTTCTAAAAGAAGAGAAGGCAGCCCACAGAGGCCCCGTAGTTACAGCCAGTAAGCCATGCCAAGTGGCTTAAGCAGCGGCCATACGAACTCGTAAGTTAATAGCAGTAAGTAAGCTATGGGGCCAGTGCTTACACGGCATAGAACCGTGAGTTACGAGGTAGTAACTATGGCGCAGGTACTTACAGGCTCGGGCTTAGAACCGTAGTTAGCAGTCAGTAACTGTGGGGCCGGTGTCTAAAAGGTGGTAAGCCAAAACGGCTGCAAACATAAATATTGGGAGGAATGAAATGCCTCTAATGGGCCAAACATGGCAAAAGCAACAGCACACACAGTGAAAGATTGTTCTCTGCATATCATCCTAGTGCTAGTCTAGTACTATGAGCAGTAAATACAACGATATAGCGCTACTGCAATCAACTCCATACGTTACCGGGAGCGGGAGCAAGAGCACTGCCCTCACCAGCTGAGTTAAATAATGAAGCCTAACAGTACATGCAAGGTGTTAGCCAAGCGGCTGCTGCTAACAATCAAGCAACCAAGTCAAAACACAAATGTTAAGACCAGATAATTAGCTTCTATGGAATAGAACAGCCCGCATAAAACCGTAGGCCATGGTCACAGTAGTAACCATGGCCAGTGCTTACACGGCCTAGGACCGTAGTTACAGTAGTAACTATGGCCAGTACTTACCTTACTCTCTGCATCTAAACAAAAAACGGGCAAAATAATGGCACACTGGGCTTTCCATACTAAATTGAATGAGAGACGCAGCTAAAGCTGGGACTCAAATGCTAATGATAGCTCGGGCACAACGCCACAAGCAGAACTTTCAAAAAGAGCATAATAAGGGCAACTTTATGGGAGAGGAAGCGGGAACACTGTCGTCACCAGAAAGTATAAGCCAAACAATAAATAAGACAGCAATCAGTAGTGATGGCAGTTTGACACTGAAGCTTCGAACGGAGCTTCAACCCTGGACTTCCTATTCCATAGAAGCAGTGCTTCGAAGCTTGCTTCAAATCACGTGACATGTGACGTCCGAAGCAGGAACTGCTTCAAATCACGTGACATGTGACGTCCGAACCAGCAACTGCTTCATTTCCTGAATGAATCAACTCACTGGTTCGCCGTCCAATCAGGTGATTCAATTCACTGCCTCGTCTCGATTCTGACAGGTGACAGGTTGAAACAGTTTCAAATTTGAGCGCTTCAACACTTTATAACCGCTCTAAACAATGCGCAATGTGTGGGTTGTTGTCGTAAATAGGTCGTTCAACAAAAAGTTGTGAACAAAAAGACATCGATGGTCTAAGGAATTGATAGCCCAGTGGATAGAGCCGGCGGCCAGGATGCGGCGATATCCTTCGCGCAGCTGGTTCAAAGCTTGGAATAGTTAAACTTTTAATCATTACTTTTCAACTTTAATACTTTAATAACTGATAAAAGGCCCTCTCCGCCCAAAAAAATGTCAAGCACTCTCTAGTCTCTTCTCAATAACCCAATACACACTATTATCAATCTTTAATTGCAAATAGAACATGATATTCAGTCTTAGTGTGTGTGTGTGTATCGAATATTTTTCAAGGCAAAGATACGTTAAACCCACTGCAGCCTTGCACTTCGCCAGGAGAGGTCAGTGAGTGGAATGCATTAGAAGAACACAGTGAAGTGGAACAGGGAGACATTTCTGACCTCTCCTGGCGAAGTGCAAGGCTGCAGTGGGTTTAACGTATCTTTNCAACTTGTTGCTGGTGATGGCTGTGTCCCCGCACCCTCTCCCAGCTAAGTGGTCCTGATTGCTAGTGATGGCAAAATGAAGCTTTGAATGAAGCGTCGAACCACTTGGACAATTGTGTCGGAAATAGGTTCATTTCTCGAAGCTTCATTTACAG